TTTAGCCTCCCCATAAGTCTGCAACACCTGCACTTCATTCTTTCAGAAGCATGCTCTATTCAGGGCAAATATATCCTTTCCTTGCTTTGTCAAGAGTACACCATTTTTCTGTCCTTTCCTAGGCATCCAGCGAAGGTACCCATAGCCTTAAGCCTATAATGCTCTTGTATTTCAGAGAGACTATTCATGTTCACAAGTTTTCTTTATTTGTCTGGAAATTTCTTTGGGCCAAAGGATCCTAGGCTTTTACTTTTTATAAAGGCTCTAAGAAACTTGTGCATGTTTCCTGGGGCTTCTTCAGCCCATGTTATGGAAATAGTAGCAGATGATCCATAGCAATCAACTACATCTATTGCTAAAATGAGGAAATGTCTTTTCTGCTGCCAAACACTCTGCAAAGACCAGACATGTCTCATCAAGCATCCTATCTCCACCAAATCATCAGCATCTTCCTAGACATTATTAAATTTTATAATATGACACAGCAGCACACTCCTCTCAACATCATAAATCTCTGTGACAGCAGGCCCAACAACTACTGATCCACTTACAACATGTAAATTAGCTACTGACTGGTTGCAACCAAAAGCAGGCAAGCTTCCAGGTGGTGATGGCAATGTTCTGCTGATGATTGGAACCAGAATTGCGTAAGCTTTTAAGAAAATGGCTTTTGTCCTCTTGATGTTCTGCTACAGTTATCCCAGTTGTTCAGAACTACTCTCTCCTACGATTGTGCTACTCATCGAACCCCAGAAATACTCTTCCACTGAGTAAATGTCTTACTTTACGTGGAGTAATTGTTCAATTTCTTTCTCTTCTTCCATTAATTGTATCATCCCAGTACCAGCAGCTCTGTGGAAAGCAGAGTCCTGCCTGTCTGCGTAAATCCCGACAGGATTTATGCCATGCTGGCAGCTGTATGCCTGGTACCAACTGGCATCCAGCTTGGACTCTGCCACTGAACGCCAGCGCAGAAATACAGCTAGCAAATTTAACGGGTGCCTGAAGAGAAACTCTGAATTGCTGTTCAACACAGTTGAAGAGTTCCTGAAATTTCTGGTAGTAATCCCCAAACACACACAATATAAAATCTAGGTTGCTATGGGATAAATCTCTAGAATGCTCATTAAGTTAAACTAGTGTTCTGTTTTGTGGATAAAGGGACTAATTCAGAAGAATGCATTTCAGTCCGCGGTCGAAGATGGCAGTTAAAGCTAATGAAATAGTTTGCCGGTAACATCATCTGGATGATGAAGGCCACAGGGACTGACCAGGAAGCTCTGTTCTGCTATTTACCCTCAAACCCCAGCAGCTGAGAGTTTTTTAAGTGTGCATAGGGCATATTCAGAACAGCTCTTCATTGCAATTTGAGAGTTTCTTAACCAGCTTTTCCTTCAGTAACTCTTCTTTTTTATTTTTTTATTTGTCGTTCTGTCTGAATGCAGGAAAATCAAGAAAGGAAGGAGCAAGCTGCCAAGTCTGAGAAAAGGAAGAAGCAGCTTAAAGGAGAAGATGCAAAGAGGCTAAAGGGAGAGTATGGAAAAAGCAGTACATTTAACAAAAATTCATTCTGTTTTTACTAGCCAGCCTTTTGTGAATTAGGAGGAAATTATCTGTTTAGCTGTGGCTGATCTAATACAAGGAGAGTGATTTAGCTGTGGATTATGTAGTTGTCAAGCAGATAGTATAGTACGAAAGACATCAATTTTCAAGTGCATGTGAATGCTTGGAAGAAATCATGATAGGAATGTCAGAAAAAATACCACTCCCAATGAGCAAGTTGCTACAATTTTGCTTAGAGGTGGGTAATACCCTGCTATTGCTCTGCATAGCTGTTGGCAGACTTTTAGGGGTGTAGAAAGTTGCGCACACTTGACCTTCACTGTGCTGTGTGACCGTGGTAGGCAAGTTGTGTCCCACGTTACTGTTACCACAACATTCGCTTTTTTCTGATTAGAGGTCTGATTCCTTAAAGCAGTTACGTGTGTGCTTAAAGGAGCGTCTGTGCTTTGTGGAAGAACAGATGACAGACACAAATGCAGAGAAGCGTTTGCTGTGCTGGGCCTACCCGGGTGTGAAGCAT